CACACACACACATACACACACACACACATATATACATACACACACACACACATATATACATATATATATATATATATTTGTTTAGGACTTAATTCAGTATATAGAAAGAACAAAAGAAAGAGAGAGGAAGAGAAAGAGAGTACTAGTAAACTATTAAAAGCAGCATATACAAGTGTAAGGTACATAATATGAAATTAATATGAATGAATTATATAAGTTTATTGATGACATCCAGTGTTAATTAGTTAATTTTGATTAGTTATAATTAATTAGCAAATAATTTATTAACTCATCTAGGAAGACACGGTTTAGTTTATTAATTCCATCAATGTAGTTAATTAGTTAATTAATGTTACTAAGGTTGTAACCTTAAAGGGGAAAAATACAAAGTCATAATAATAATCTTATTAATAATATAATAATTGCTGTCATAATTATTTTTAAATATCATATTATTTATAAAGAAATTAATAAAAAAAATTAGCAAAAAATGAGGTTTTTAACATTTTTGTTGATGCTAACTCTGCTGTATGTATACGCCTCGATTGGTGGGTGCATCTTGAGGGCCATTGAGGTCGGGAACGAGGGGGACTTGATTAGGACCTCCAACAAGACCCTTAATGACGTCATCGGTCGTGGTTATTGTTGTTGTGGTTGTTGTTTTTGTGATTGTTGTTGTTGTTGTGGTTGTTGTTTTTGGAGCCAGTTGGCCACAGCAACCGGTTTCGCCAGAGATCTATTTTGTTGTTGTTGAATCATCACAATCATCATAATTGAAGTTGTTGTTGATGTTAAATCATCACTATTATCATCATAAGAATTGTTGTTGTTGTTGTTGCTGTTGTTGTTGAATCATCATTATCGTCATTTTTAATTGTCAACTAGTGATGTCTGTTGTTGTTGTTGTTGAATCATTTTTCTAGATATAAACCTAAATTACACTCACAGGCCGCAATTACAAAATAATTATAATAATAATAACCCCCATATTTAACCACGCAGACAAAAATTATTGCATCAGCAAGAATGACATCATGACCTTCCAGTCCGTGGTCAAGGACATGACGGAAAATGGTCTCTTTCTCAAAAACTACACCCTCAACTTCCGGGAAAGGTTTGACGTCAGGTCGGCCATCTTAGTGGCTTGCACCCTTTACACAGGATTCGGTAGGTAGGCTTTATTTATAATACAATACAATGTAATACAATACAATGTAATACAATACAATGTAATACAATACAATGTAATACAATACAGTGTAATACAATACAGTTTAATACAATACAATAAAATGTAATACAATATAATACAAAATGTTGCAGTACAATACAAAATAATACAAATACAATACATTACATATTACAATACAATACAATACAATACGATGCAATACAATAAAATGAAACGCAACACATTACAAACAATACAATACAACATAATCCAATATTATATTAAAATTACAGACTCAAACTAAAAGCCAAACAGTAATATAGTTAATAATTTTATCTTTGGGTTTTGAAACAATTTGAAATCATTTTGTAATATATGTATTTTATAAATATATTGGGTATTTTATCAATCTGAGAGAATATAAAATGATATATTGCATCTATAATTGTTTCAAAAGTTAAGGTCACCAAGAATAAAGTATTCATTGCTAAAGTTTTACATTTTTTTCTTCTTTTATCTATTATCTAATAAATGTATCACAAACTACAACCGAATCTCACTAATATTTAAATAGACAACAACAACAACATTAATAAAAACAGCATCAACAACAACAACATCAACAACAACATCTGCAACAACAACAACAACATCAACATCAACAACATCATCAACAACATCATCAGCACAACAACAACAACATCAACAACATCAACAGCAACAACATCATCAACAACAACAACAACATCAACAACAACATCAACAACATTATCATCATCAACGACATCAACTTCAACAACAACATTATCATCAGCATCAACATCAGCAACAACAACATCAACAACAACCAATACCAGGTATAAGATACGCGATACCACAGTCACTGGGCGGCTTAATATTCAGCGCAATATACACCCTGCTGGCTGGCTATTTTGAATTTTTTGTCATGTACAGCTGCGGTGATCTATTCGACGCCATCCTAAAACTTTTCTTCAGAAAATTAAAAAGAGTGACACCGGAAAAGGCGGTTAACTTGTTCATCCACTTCCGCCAGCTGATCTTACTCGTTATTGGGATCATATTTTTCGTCCTCATCCCGACCGCTATTATTGACTCCGTTGAGGTGTGGTCCTTCGACCAGACGCTCTACTTCGTGTTGACCTTCATGCTGACCTTGGGGTTTGCCGATTATACCCCTGGACATGATTGTATGTTTGTTTGTTGGTTGGTTGGTTGGCATGATTGTTTGTTTTTGTTTGTTTGTTTGTGTTTGTCTGTTTGTTTGTTTATTTGTTTGATGCTTATATATTTTGTTTCAAATGTTTGTTTGAATATGCATATTTTCAAATCTGTATGTTTTTGTTTGTTCTGATTGTTTAGCTTATCTTTCCAATTTGTTTGTCAGTTTCACACAAAACATAAACACAAACACACAACACTACCACACAAAAACAAACATACAACTCCCACACACACACACACACACACACACACACACACACACAAACACAACAACACTTCCACACACAAGCACACAACACTCTCCCACACATACAAAACACACACAGACGAGGTAGAGAACAGATCAGAAGATTTCATAAAATGGTACCGAATGTTCGTTGGCTTTTGGCTGATCATCGCCATCCTTTGGTTTTATATCATCATCTACCAGTTCAGTTCGGTGTTTGGATGGTTTATCTGGGAGAACGTTGAAGAGATTGTCGACGATAAGATGGAGAAAGTTGAGCATGTTTTGGAGAATGTGAGTTGCATGTTTTTGTGTTTATTTGTGTGGATCTGTGCTGTTGAGTGTTCTTTGTTTTGTGTTTGTTTGCTTAGTATGTTCGTTCGTTCGTTCGTTCGTTCGTTCGTTTATTGAATTTTTATATGAATTATCAAGTAACAAGCTGTCGTTCTGTTGTTACACCCCATCAATTCTATCAGGATTTATAATATTCTACGTTAATTGAAAATCATCTTCATCAGCAAAAACAATAACTTAATTTTTACAAAAAAAAAAATTAGCCCACCACAACAACCACAAACAGGCTTTCAACAGGGCAAACTTGAAAGAAAAGAACAAAAACTTCTTGGAAAAATTCAAAAAATCGACTAAGTTACAAAAGGAAATCGAACAAATTGACGAAATAAAAGATCAACAGCACCAGCAACTACAACTAAACCAGCAGAGCCACCTAAACAACTACAGCCACCCCAACTACAACAACTACAGCAGCCACAGCTACAACCTGAACTCCCAGCCACAGGCAAACATGGACATGTTAAAGAGTGGCTATTTCAATGGTGGTATGGCGATTTTCAACGGTCAAACCTCCCATGGCGAAATCAGCGTCATCAAATTTTGATGTAAATTTTTTTGTGGACTTTCTGGAAAATGAATAATTTTTATTAGAGTATTATTTGTAGTGTTTGGTAATTGTTTTGTTTTTATTTGAATATATTATTATAAATTATATTACACACACACACACACACACACACACACACACAGAGGTAACGCCCACACCACCACACCACACATAAACACACATTCGTATCGTAGCATAAGATAATCTTAGATAAAGAACAGTTATCCTTACAATCGAATCCATTTGTTCATAAATAAAAAACCCGACAAAACTTTATTTATTAAACATTATTTTATAGCATGTTATATCAATTGTACTTTGTTGAACAATCATGTATTAGCATCTAACTGTTTTAGTTAGTTAGTTGGTAACAATCTTTCAGACAAGATGTTTCGGTTCGCTATTTTATAAGAGATATTATTATATATAGCAATAAAAACATGTAAACTTGCTTAAATTATTTTTAAACTCAAAAAAAATATTATTAATGAATAAGGGTAAGATCCTGACAATGAACTTGACAGGAATTGAACTATACCAATTGACCTGAGCGTTGACTTATCACATGCTTCGTATGTGATACGTCGTTTAGCACGTATTCATATACGATGTTTGTGCGCTCTGTTGAATCCTTTGAACTTTGGAAGAGTGTAATTGACCTTTAACCTTTAAATGACCTTCAAAGGTATTTCACTTACATGTGTCTTTGTTAAATTAAAGTTATAGTTAAGTGAATTTGTCGAAGTCGGTTTTTTCAAAATGTTTTTGTTGGAAAGATCAATGAAATTGACACGTTCACCACACACACACACAATCTCTCTTTTACCCTTCCCCCCTCTCTCTCTCTCTCTCTCTCTCTTTCTCTCTGTCACACACACAAACACAGCAAGTTGCAAACTGCCACATATTCGAGACTTGTTTCTCATTCTGCGAAACTCTCAGAGCAAGGAGTGTGGATTGATGAAGCAGATTAAATCAATTAATAAATAAACATCTTTTTGTAATTTATTCTCATATTTGAGTACAATTTATCCAAAAATTGTAAAAATTCACTCATTTGTAAGCAATTCATTATTGATTGTGAAAAATTAAGGAAATCGGTAATTGTAAGCAGTTGCTAAAATTGTAAGCAGTTGCAAGATATTTGTCTCTCTCTATCTCTTTCTCTCTTGCTATCTCTCTCTTTTTTTTATATATTATATATACATATGTATATATATATATATATATGCAATTATTGATTAAAATCACAGCATGTTCGGCGTTAGTTAACTTCCTATTTAACTTTTAGATTTTTCTAACGGTTGATCGTAAATCATTCTCAAGTTTTTTGGGTTCAAAACCAAAATTTTTTTTTATTTTACGCATTACAGAACAAAAAGTTTTTTTTGGTATTTCTATACCATCTTCGGTGTTAAAATAGTTAAGCGTTAGATGTAGTTGCTGCTGCTGAAGCTGCGTTCATTGCTGGCGTTGAATTATCAATTGACCAACCCCTCATCAGACAATGAATCCTCAAGGATGACGAACAAAACTGGAAAATCTTTGACGGACATGCATGTGTGTATGTGCGTGCGTGTGTGAGTGTTTTTGTGATTTTACGTGTGTTTGTTTATATATATTATATACAGAAAATAATACAGCGAACAAGCAATTTAGCTGGCTAATTATGATGATCTGCCCTCTATAATAACATTAAGTTCTTAATTCATTTACATTGTTAGTTTGGTTAAATAGTGTAGCATTGTTGTATCATTGTTAAGCTTTGTTTATACAAAATCAACATCTTTATTGGTATAATATTAAATGCAGTAATTATTAATACTAATCATTGTGTTCAATATTCATGAGAAATCTATTTAGCAATCTATTTAGCAATCTATTTAGCAATCTATTTAGCAATCTATTTAGCAATCTATTTAGCAATCTATTTAGCACGTACAGCACATGTATGTACCAAATTGTATGTGAAAACTTAATTGCTTATTAAGTGCAAATATATACATTCATCTGAATACCGTTCATACTAATACATATTAACACATATACAATACAAATACATTGCACATACATATACATGTTTGTATGCGTAATATACAAACAAATTTATATACAATAAATAAATAAATATGTATACATGTGTGTTTTATTAATAGAGCAAATGATCGTGATGAAACACTCGTTGTTACACACACATATACACACACTCACAAACATTGTTAATATATATATATATATATATATATATATATATATTATGTATAATGTAATTATATTTATATACACTTTGATTAAAATTAGTAAGCAACTATAATATAATATTTAAAGCTAGTATCTTGTTAATTATACTTGAATTAATAATTAAATAATGTAATAATTAACAGTGTATATTAATTAATTGCTTTATATGATCCATAAAGAATTAAGGTAACATGTATCAGAACGAGTCAATAACTCAACATTTCAATCAAGACGATGTCTTAAACATTAAGTAATTAAAAATAATGATAAAATATAACATAATATATATAATAACATAATATAATATAACATAACATAAAATATAACATAATATAATATAACGTAATAAATTGTTAACTATAATTAGTGATAAAATTGCTAAGTATTAATTTCGGTTGTTTTTCCGCTTTCTCATTAACTGGTAAGTAGAGAGCTGAGATGCGATATGTATTTACATTTTCATTACTCAATTTAAAATCAGTAAAATTAATTTTAGAAATTGGTTAATTTTATTAATATGTATTAGTTAATTAACTAATGGGTAATTGATTAATGAATAATTGGTTATTATGTAGTTATTTAATTAATGATTAATTAATTAATCAGACATTTTCATTACTCAATTTAAAATTTAAAATCAGTAAAATTAATTTTAGAAATTGATTAATTTTATTAATATGTATTAGTTAATTAACTAATGGGTAATTGATTAATGAATAATTGGTTATTATGTAGTTATTTAATTAATGATTAATTAATTAATGGAATTAAATAATTAGTTAATTAATTAGTTAGCTAATTAATTATTATCGTCGTTAATATTGTTAAAACTTAGTAGTAGTATTAGTAGTCGCAGTAGTAATAGTAGTAGTAGTAGTCGCAGTAGTAATATTAGTAGCAGTAATAGTAGTAGTAGTAGTAGTAGTAGTAATAGTGGTAGTAGAAGTAGAAGTAGTAGTAGTAGTGGTAATAGAAGTAGTAGGAGTAATGGCAGTAGAAGTAGTAGTGGTAATAACGGTAGTAGTAGTAGTAGTGGTAATAGTTAAGTAGTACTATCATCTTCGTCATCTTTTTTATTTATCATTTAATTAATTTATTAATTTTGGATACGTGAAAATAATTAAAAAATGATGATTCACTTTTATTTAAAATTATAAAAAAAAAGTAAAATCCAGAAGCCAGAATGAAATTGCTGACGTTCCTAATGATGTTAACGCTGCTGCTCATTTACTCCTTGATTGGTGGTGTCATATTCAAGAACATCGAAACTCCTAATGAAGATTTCGTCAAGAAGAGCGCTAACTCTACGTTTGCCAGACTGCTGGGTTTGTGTTCGCTTGTCTGTTTGTATTCTTTTGTTTGTTTGTTTGTTTGTTTGTTTGTCTGTCTGTTTGTTTGTATGTATGTATCTGTACATCTGCCTGTATGTCTGTGTATTTATTTGTTTATTATCGTGATTCTATTGATTTGTTGGTATTCTTGTGTTTGTCTGTTTGTATATGTATTTTTTTGTATGTTTGCCCGTGTGATTGTTTGTATTGTTTGTATGTTTGTGTATTAATTTGTATGTTTGGCTGCTAGTATTTTTCATTTGCTTGTTTCTATTTATAGATATTTTAATTGAGTTAAGGGTATAAATGCCTGTTGGATAGGATGATTGCATTTGTTTAGGAATAGTATTAGTGTTGTTCTATAGCACTAAAAATAATTAATAATGCCTTCAAATCACACGCAGAGAATCTCAGTAGTTAGCTTATTTCATATTTTAAGAATAATTAAACTTATTTTGTGTGTAATAATACACCTGAGATTTGGGGGGGTATTTGTCCAGGGGCAGACAGGGCCGGTGAATTTGCTCCTTTTATCAAACAAATGGTATATTGAATAATGATAATGTTATTAATGTTAGTAATAATTTTTTTAAACTACCTAACCGAAGTGCTTACATCATTGTCGACACGCGATATCGTTTGTCGCTTCTATTCTCTCTCGAACTTTAGTTAACGTCTATGCTGTTTGTTGTTGGTGTTTTGTGAAAATTTTGTTACATCTACGTATAAGTACTCCTCTCTGTATGCGTGTTAGCGTGTGCGTGTGTATGTTTGTTAGTTGTGTATGGGTGTGTGTGTGTTTTATGTGTGTTTTTTACATACATTTCTACGGAAAAACAATTTTTAATATGACATCAACGTATATTGATATGTTTAAAAACCGTTACAAATTGCCAGAGAACAACGACTGCCTGACACCAAACGACATTGCAGACTTCCAGGACATTACCACCGATATGCTAGAGAACGGACTGCTACTCAAATCTGACAGCAACAGCACCGCAAGACCTTCGGCATTCTTCAGGGAGACCTTCGACGTCAGATCAGCCATCCTTGTCGCCTCTTCCATTGTCACTGGCATTGGTGAGTATCTTCTTTTACATTTTTTTTCATAAGTCACAACATTTTTTGATGCATCTATATATTTCCACCAGGTATAAAACACGCCTATCCAGTGACAACAGGCGGCCGAATTTTCTGCATCGTCTTCAGCTTCTGCATCTCTTATTACAGCTACATCGTTCTGTATTCAGTCGGATTTTTAGTCGACCGACTCTTGGAGGTTTTCTTCAAGAAGCTGAACAAACGTTTAACGAAGAGGAGTGTCAACGTGTTTATACACTTCAGGCAAACTGTTTTGTTGACTTTCGGCATAATTTTCCTCGTTCTCATACCAGCTGGAATCATCTGCTCCGTTGAAAACTGGCCGTACGATCAGACCCTCTACTTTTGTTTTCTCTATGCCATTTCTTTGGGATTTGCCGATTACATCCCTGGAGAAGATCGTGAGTTTTGTGAAGAAGTGTGTGAATGGTTTTTGTGACGGGGAGTTAAAAAACTGAGGCTAGTTGTGATATGATGTTCTCAGCTTTCAACATTTGTTCATACTTACACCAGGGATGTGTAAATTGTTTCTGTGGTATGCTATTAATTTATTAAAAATGTTTATAATCTTTAAAAGATCTATTTTTATACAGTTATAATTAAATTCATAAAAATGGTAATCATAGTTAATTCTTGTTACGAAATAAATTGATTCTCAGCCTGATAAGTTACACAATTTTTAGTAGCGAAATATCTAATTTTACATGTTAACCAATCCCATTTCCTTTTTTCACAATTCACAATTCGTTTATTTATCAAACCAGTAAAGATTTGACCTGGAGATCTGGAAGATTAAAAATCTTGTATCGGCTACCAGAGTATATGAAAAAATTAGAAAATAATATATCATATATAATATATATAGTTCTGATTATGTCAAAAATTCTAACAGAAACTTTCCCTTAACCTAACCCAACATATTATCATTCCGTTTCCCAGCAAACTTTCAAAGAAGTGAGGGCTTCATAAAATGGTACAGACTGGCCATTGCTTTCTGGTCACTAATAACTTTCCTCTACCTCTCCCTCATCATCTACCAGTTCAATGGATTGTTTGGCAGATTCATCTGGGAAAACATGGAAAAAATTGTTGATGACAGAATCGAGAGAGTCAAATATATCAGGGATAATGTTTGTTTTTTTTTTAATTTTGTTCAATTTATTTAATTTTTTCATTTAAAGTAATTCTGTATTTTGAATTTTTTGAATTTTATTGTTTTTAAATTTTTGAAAAATATTTTCTTATAAAAATGAAAACTTTTATTAAAATTGAGAGCATTAATACTTACCTTCAGAACGTCTACAGGGAAGTCTTGAAGAAACATCGAGAAAAATACCTCAAAAAGTTTCAAAAAAATTCACAAACGGAGGCAGCGATGAGGAGGGTTGGCTGGATGGATGATCAGAAAAAGATTCAAACCGGAGCTATCCAATCAGACGTCGGAAACGTCGTTTCCGACACAAACCCAACTTATCCCATTCCAGACAAGATCCAGCCACCAGATTACCAACAGCCTGTCTCCAACGTCATTTTATACGATCCGAACTTTGGTCATGGAAGAATATCTTCAGGAGAAGTCAGCGTGATAAAATTTTGAAGGTTTGATGGTGCTGACGACGACGAAGATAATGGCGATGATGATGATGACGATGGTGATGATAATGGTGTAATGGTGATGATGACGGTGGTTGGTTGAGATGATGACGATAATGAGAATGATAGTGGTGATTTTGATAATGATATATTAGCTAGTATACTAATAAGCTTTTATAAAGACACAAACAAATGATATAATGTTATTATTACAGTATCGAGATAATATTAAAATAATTGCATTAAATTACAGTGCATAGATATCAATAAATTGTAATATATAATATATATATATATATATATTTATATATATATATATATATATATTTTACAATATTCTATAAATTTTACCGAATGTTTGGCGTTAATATGTTTGTAGTTCGTTTTTTCGATTTTTCTCACTAAAGTTTTTTGGTGAACGTTTAGTTTATTAAAATTCAAAATAAACTTATTTTTCTAATTCATGCTGCAAATAAGGCCATATTTCGATTCCGAATGAATCATCGTCAGTCCTCCTTGTTGTATATATAGGGAAATATTGACTTTGTCAAGATTAACTTTGACGTTGTAAAAATTAACTTTGGTGTTGTAAAATTGAACTTTGATGCGAATTAGGTGTCAGGTTTGTTAATTGGCTGGTCATCTTCTTTGGTCTCCTTTTCTTCATCGATAGCATCATATTTTTCTTTGTCACTATTTACGATGCTAGTTTTTATTACTTCTTTGTTTTCGTTGTTTCGTTGAAAAGAAGTAATAAAAACTAGCATCGTAAATAGTGACAAAGAAAGTTAAGTTAACTGTTAATGAATCGTTAACGAGTCGAGTGTTAGAGTGGTTCACAAAAAATTTTTTTTATTTAAAATGCAAAAACCGTCATACAGCAATATCTATCCTAAAACAGCATCCAGTATCACCTTTTAAAACATTTCAAATAAAAGTAATATTCCGAAATTAGTAAATATACGATCGTAATTTTAGACTTGGGCGATAAAAAATTACCCTCGGGAAGTAAGCTCCTTGTTCGACCGTCAAAAATGAGCGAAGGCCGTTATATTCTATTTATATGGATAAGACCAATCTGAGATTCATTAATGAGTCATTTTCCGGTAATTGTTAAATTTGAAAATTTGGTATTCCTCGACATTTCTTGAAAAACAGTTTTTAGATATAAAGATTTAGTTATGTGATTATAACAGGTCTTTGACCAGTCAACTATTTTCGGAATTGAAACTAATTATTAAAAAAAGATTTGATTTAAAAAAAAATTATTTGATGTTAGAATATTCCACTCCGTTACTGTCCCTGAGCAGTAAGACCCATAGAATTATATAACTGGAATCGCCCTACCAGCGTTTTAACATTGAAAATTTTTTTCAACGGGCAAGTTACCTCTGGAAGCAAGTTCCTAAAAATTAATTATTCATGAGCATTTTGGTTTTTTTTGAAAAATCTGAGATATAATTAGAAAAAATCTTGGCCTTCCCGAAGTTATGTTAATGACTCTTTGCCGATCTGCATTCATCTCGTTTGTTAAAATTTATTTCGTTTTCAACATTCCGTGAAGTTTTAAGTTTTATAAGGTGCCGTAGAATAGATATTGCCATTTTCTGATGCATCAGAAAAATCGAAGATTTATAATAAGTTCGTTAGCGATCCTCATTTTTCTGAAATAAAGATTTCTTCATTCATTTTCCTAGCACCCACGAATCACGATGATTAGAGTAAGAATCATTCCTAAATTAAATTAGATTATTAGAATCTAGAAAACGAAAAGAAGTTGGTAAAAATTTTATTGTAAAAATGAAATGTTATTAATATTTAAAAAATATAACTCATCAATCTATATTGTTATAAATAATTAATAAATTAATCAACTAATAATTTTTAAATTAAGATGTAATTCCTGTCCTAAACTAGAATCTTTCAACACTTCAAAGCTTACAATACAAATTACAAAGGAATATTTGCTTTCAACATAACATACCCAAACCAAATTTAATCACACAGAGGAGGTTTTTAAAATTTTTTTTGGTAGTAAAACCAAACAATCTTTTTTTTCGGTTTTAACTTTTTAAATGCTATGATTTATATATAATTTATTAATATATTAAATTAATTATATAATAATTTGTTAAAATCAAATTCTTTAACTTAACTATTTTAACTGTAATTGACATTATTAAAAAAATAATAGTTTAATTAATATTAAGCTAACATGAAATTCATTATGCTATTGATTTAAATTTTATAAAACGAACAACTGTTGATTTTTAATAGAATAGTTATGTAATGTTTAATAATATTTATTTAACATTACAATTTATAAAATAACCCTGAATGTGCTAGATCATGAACATGTATATTTTTATATTTATGTGTAAATTGTTATATTCCTTGCTTGTTGATTATAAAACACCTATCTTGCTATAATTAGTAATTAACTTAACTCGTAGTTAGATCAGTCCTACTTTTTTATTTCTGGATTTCAGCTTTATTTGTTGTATAACTGCAAAATGTTTGATTTACATAATTATAAATTTATCTTTCAACTATCTTGAAAAGTGAAATAAATATACATATACATAAAAAGATAAAACTAAGGTTGCTTCTGATGTAATCTATTAAAAGCACTGTACAAATTCAGTAAAACAATTGATTTAATAAATTTAAATAGTATAATTTTCGTTGCATTTTATTATTTAATTTACTTTTATTAAAACTGCATGTTGATAGAAAACTCTTTAGTTAAATTAAAAGTCTTAATGTTGTATATGATATTATTATTTTTTTTATTAATTCATAATAGTGGTTTGCATTCTGTACATCATTGAAATGAATTTCCATGTTAAATAAATCTTCGTTGACACATGTGGAAGTATGTTGCTTTCAATTACAAGTTTTTTCTTAAAACAATAATTATTTATTTTTAATAATCTTTCTGATTCTTGGCAGATTTGAAAATCATTAAAATTTATTGATATGTCAATTGTCCAAGCCAATTATGCACATTTTTCTGAAATTATTTGTAATTAAGTTTAGTTTAGATATTGAGATATATAAAAAAAACCTTTGAGTTTTGTAAATGTAACACCATTTGATGGGATTATTATTATAAAATATCATATAAGAATGAAACATATTCCTCATTAATTTCAGCATGTGGCATGCATCAAATATGATATATATTTTCTGGCCGGTTGTTGGGGACAAGAAACTTGTTTGCATGTTTGGAAATGTGAAAGAGCATCCAAGCAACTTGTGAGATGATAATTTATTTGTATAAAAATAAGCCATCATTGTAACTATCATTATATACTTTGTTAACTCTTTTTAAATGGTATGAGTTTTTTATCTAGAAGCAAAAAAAAAACAAAAAATTAATCAAAATTTCAATTCATTTTGCTATGGTTACATAACATAAAACCTTTGTATGTAGCTAATTCATTTTTTAATTTATTACATTCATTCATAAGTTTTCTTATTGTTGCCTGCAGCATTGTGATTCTGGACTTGTAATACTTTGATTGCCTTTACTGTTGCTTGATCAGAGATGTGCATCCATTGAGCAAAACGTTCTAAATATGATTTAAATTTGAAAGTAAATAGCTGCATTTAAAATTTTTTATCATATTATATATTATATAATATATATATACCCAATAAATTAAAATAAAATAAAGAAACTCTTTGTATTCTGTATTTCTTATGACAAAAAGCCATTTTACAAAGGCATCCTAATAATAATAATAAACCCATAATATAAAAACAATATAAAAAATATTTGAACATTAATTAACGATAGTTAAAAAAATTAAAAGTCAAAATTTTAAAATAAAAATCCAAAAAAGCAAAGCCTCTTTTCTTCTACTAGTCTGGGCCTAGTGTCTCCTGGCACAATGTAACATTTTTAAAACTTTTAAACAAATGAACTTTATAAAATCAAAATGGATCAAATAATAAATTATTCCAAAAATTTTACATAATTCAGTTTAATTATTAAATTAAAAATCGATTAAAACTGCCGTAGAATGACTTTAGCAGCAAAAAAACGTTTACAAGAATGCCGCCGGTGGCACATTAACAGGGAAGAAGCTAAATATAGATTGGAAAACTGAAAAACCCATCGACAATTTGGTAACAGAAAAAGTTTTAAAGAAAGGGACTTTGAATGAATTGAAGACATTATTTTCCAATCAGATTCGTGATGAACTGTGCCGTCATGTCTTTATAATAAGGCACCAATTTAGAGCCTACAAATTACTGAAAGAAAGTTTACAGCATTCTGAAGCAGTATTGCATATAGACTTCTCTGAAAATTATGGTTTTAAAAATGCATCTGCAATACAGACGTGCCATTTTGGAGCAAGTAATCAACAAGCAACTATACATACAGGTGTGTTGTACAAATACAATGGCCTAATTTCATTTGCCAGTATTTCTGAATCCTTGCGTAAGGATTCATCAGCAATTTGGGCTCTTATTGAATCTATACTTCAGAATTTACGTGAAAGTTATCCTGGCATTACCAAATTGCATTTCTTTTCTGATGGGCCAACAACGCAGTACCGGAACAAACAAAATTTCTACTTTCTTTCGACTCAAATCTACAAGCTCGGATTCACAGACGCAAGTTGGAATTTTTTTTAAGCAGGGCATGGCAAAGGAGCTCCAGATGCCATTGGAGGTGCCTTAAAACGCCGAGCTGATGATAAGGTGAACATGGGTTGTGATATTACAACAGCACAATCTCTTTTCAAGGTGATGAGTGAATCTGATTCACAGGTAAAACTGTACTATATTGAAGGGTCAGATATTGGTAGAATAACGAGTTATTGTCATCAGTCATTAACAGCAATCGCTGATACGATGAAAGTTCATCAGCTGTACACCGATACAGAGCTGTGTATATCATCACGGATTCTAAGTTGTTTTTGTACACGACCAACAATGTGCACATGTTACAACATTCAGACAAAGAAATTTCCAGCTATTATAAACTCGGTGAGATTAAATAATATCATTTATTTTCTTATAATTTTATTTAATTTAATCATGAACATTTTATAAATTTATAAATTTGATTTGGAAGTTATTGCATCATAATTTCAATCCAATAATTTACTTTTTAAAAGAAATTGGTTGTCAGATACTGAATTTAATAAAAGTTTGCTAATTAGTAATTTAAAGTTGAGGTTAAGATAATTTAAAATAGTTTTCACAATAATAAAATAAAAAAGTCGACTTGCTTTTATCTTTTATTTTTTTTTGATTGAATTTTATCATCTATTGCTAGTTTATTTTGTTAATTTAATTTCTTATTTTAGCCATCAGTCGAATTGAATCCAGATGCTAATCAATCTTCAATTGAAATGAATCCAGATGCTAGTCAATCTTCATACGGAATGAATACAGATGTTAGTCAATTTCAAATCGGAATGAATCCAGATGCTAGTCAATTTCAAATTGGAATGAATCCAGATGCTAGTCAATTTCAAATCGGAATGAATCCAGATGCTAGTCAATTTCAAATTGGAATGAATTTAGATACTAGTCAACCTTCAATTGGAATGAATTCAGATGCTAGTCAATTTCAAATTGGAATGAATCCAGATGCTAGTCAATTTCAAACCGGAATGAATCCAAATGCTAGTCAATTTCGAATCAGAATGAATCTAGATGCTAGTCAATTTCAAACCGGAATGAATCTAAATGCTAGTCAATTTCAAATCAGAATGAATCTAGATGCTAGTCAATTTCAAATCGGAATGAATTCAGATACTAGTCAACTTTCAATCGGAATGAATTCAGATACTAGTCAACCTTCAATCGGAATGAATCCAGATGCTAGTCAATTTTCAATCGGAATGAATCCAGAAACATTTTATAACAAAATAAGAAAATCAAATGATATCAGTTGTGCTTCTAATACCGGTGGAGATATAAAAACTGGCGATTATGTCTTGGTTGAATTGAAAAGTTTGAAAAACAAATGTCATTATATTGCTCGAATTGATAATACAACTTCTGATGATGGAGAATTAGAAATAACATATTGTTGTAACCGTGCTACCGAACGCACTAGATTTTAGCGTATTCTAGAATGTTCTAGTGACTGGAGCATTCTAGAGTATGCTAGAATCGGACCATCGAGAAGAATCTAGAAACGACGCTTGCGAAGAATATAAAAGCGCACGTCGCAAGAAGATTAGTGATATTCGTGATTAGTGAAATTCGTGATTTTGTAAATTCGTGACTCTGATTTTGTGAATAGCGATTCGGTGAATTATTAAAAGCGATATTTGATTTATTTGTTGACGTTGTCGTAGCGATCGATTTTGAACAATTTAAAAGTTAATTGTTGCGTTAGTTTGAATTTGCTGGAAATAAACGATTAGTTGATTTCTTCTGTAAATAAAGTTTAATAACTAATAACTGTTTGGAGTATTTTATTCAATCGAAGATTTCAACCCGAACCCATCTTAAATCGGTTACGACAGCGAGTATTATAACATTGGTGTCAGAAGTGGGATCTTCGACTAGCGAATTACTACTCATAGAAAAAGAAAACGATGTCAAAACTGTGTGGTTTGAACGTAGTTCAGCTACGAGAAGAACTACAGAAACGAAGCCTTGTCACAAGTGGCAACAAAGAAGTACTAGTAGCACGTCTGAGAGAAGCTCTCATTGACGAAGGTAAGAACCCAGACGAATTCAAGTTTGATGGTGCTGACGAAGACAATGAAATTAGCACAGGCACGTTTACAACCGCTAAAATGATGAAACTTCTGCTTAGTATGTCAACTGAAATAAAACAACAGATCAAAGAACAGTCCGAACAACAGCCGGACGACAGACAGAAGAGTTAAAACAACAGATCAAAGAACAGTCCGAACGACAGTCCGAACGACAGACAGAAGAGTTAAAACAACGGATCAAGGAACAGTCCGAACGACAGACAGAGGAGTTAAAACAGATCAAGGACCAGCTAAAACACGTAAAATTGGAAGTGGCAGAACAGATTGAAGAACAGTCAACAAGAATAGAAATGATCGAGCAGAAACTTGATCGTCAGACCGTTGAGGTAGATCGCAAGATAGACAAATTGAAGCGAGAATTGGAGCAATCCAAAAAAATGGCCATGCCGTTAGATCACGCATCCGGAAGAACTTTGAAGGTACCAGCATTTGACGGAGAGATGTCCTGGAACGTTTATAAAACCCAGTTCGAAGCAGCGGCAACTAGTAACTGTTGGAACGGAAAAGAACGAGCAACAGCATTGATACTGGCCCTGCGAGGTTCAGCAGCAGAGGTTCTTCAGACGATTCCGGCGGAGAACCACTTCAACTATGAAGTTCTGGTTAGCGCGTTGGATTTACGTTATGGTGAAGAACACATGAAACAGATTTATCGGTCTCAGCTTAGAAACAGAACGCAACGATCTGGTGAATCCATTCAGCAGCTGGCACAAGATATCGAACGGTTGATATTGCTGTCGTATCCGACATCAGACCCCGAGCATAGAGACGAAACTGCCCTGGATACGTTTATCAAAGCCCTTCGTGATTCGGAACTCAAGCAATCCCTTCTCTTGTCAGATAAACGAAAACTCAAGGATGCCGTTGCGCACAGTCTCACTTTTGAATCGGCAAAGCAAGCATCAAAAAGTGACGTACGTCTACGCCAAGTACATGAAGAATGCTCTTGCCAGAAGGTGGTTGTGAAACGCGAACCCCAACAGCATGGTGTACTCCAATGCTGGATTTGTGGTGAAAAAGGCCATCTACGTCGTGATTGTAAACACCGCCTAAAAGATAACTACCGCCGAAATTGCGAGACAAGATGGCGCAAAAGAAGAGAAGATGATCCTGTATCACGATCGGCCCCTTCTAACCAGAAGGTGGTTGTGAAACGCGAACCCCAACAGCATGATGTACCCCAATGCTGGATTTGTGGTGAAAAAGGCCATCTAAGTCGTGATTGTAAACACCGCCTAAAAGATAACTACTGCCGAAATTGCGCGACACGATGGCGCAAAAGAAGAGAAGATGATCCTGTATCACGATCGGCCCCTTCTAACGAAGGGGCGGAAAAGCTAATAAGAGCCAACTTTGTGGGGCAGAGGTTGGCTAGTAGAATTGACGCCCCCAGTACCGTAATTAACGTTTCCAGACTACATCGAAATCGAAACGACCTATGGCTGAACGGAAAAGTTGATCAACGAGAATGTGTATTTACAGTCGACACCGGAGCAACGAAATCGATTTTAAGATCTGATTTGGTACCCAATCTGAAGAAAGAGACTTCTAACAAATACATCCTTCGAACAGCTACCGGAGGAACAGCACCAGTCTATGGAAAGATTCTCCGTACTGTTCAGCTAGGCGACTTGTTACTCGAAGGTTCATTCTTAGTCGCGGATATCATCGACGAATGCATAATAGGTGTCGACTTTCTGACAAAATATGGGTTCAAAATTGACTTATAAAAACGCATTCTTAGATGGAGAAATACAGAAGTGATAATGGGGGTTAGCGACGAAAAATGCATTCGAATGACAGTCGATTGTGACATAGAACTACCTCAATCATCTGAAAACATCGTATGAGGCAAGTTGAATTGCGATCCTGGGGGCCACCAGTTCTATTTGATGGAGCCAACCTCAACGACAAATGTACAGAACGCGGTCATTGGAAAATGCCTGGTAGAAGCGAACAAAAATGGTCTTATTCCTCTCAGAATAATGAATACCGCTAAACACGCTATTAAAATTAAAAAAGGCGAAGAAATAGATAATTGCCAATCAATAAATTTGGTAAAATCATTAGATGTGGAGCAACAGGAAAAGGTTCTACCAACTGACAAAGGTAGACTCAAAGAACTTACCAAAAATCTACTGGATGAACTCAATTTGTATCAAGAAGACCGTCTAAAAGCCGAGGCGTTGATTGCTGATTTTACAGAATACGTGGATAATCTTCGACAGCGATTAAACCATATCCACCGTTACGTACGCCTTAAAATTATGAAAAACACAGAGGCGGCCAAAACCAGATACGACTTGAAAAGAAGCAGTGGCGGTTTTGCTGTCGACGAGTTAGTTTGGCTGTACAACCCACAGCGAAAGAAAGGACGTTCTCCAAAGCTCCAGCGAGGGTGGGAAGGACCTTATCAAGTCATCACCCGCTTGAATGACGTCGTCTACCGTATTCAGGAATATCGGAAGCCGAGAGCAAGAACGAAGATCGTTCATTTGGATAGACTGGCTCCGTACCATGCGGACACCGGAACGAAAGCTGTTCGGGACGAACAGAACTAAGAAGGGGGTAATGTTATAACCGTCCTACCGAACGCACTAGATTCTAGCGTATTCTAGAATGTTCTAGTGACTGGAGCATTCTAGAGTATGCTAGAATCGGACCATCAAGAAGAATCTAGAAACGACGCTTGCGAAGAGTATAAAAGCGCACGTCGCAAGAAGATTAGTGATATTCGTGATTAGTGAAATTCGTGATTTTGTAAATTCGTGACTCTGTGATTTTGTGAATAGCGATTCGGTGAATTATTAAAAGCGATATTTGATTTGTTTGTTGACGTTGTCATAGCGATAGATTTTGAACAATTTAAAAGTTAATTGTTGCGTTAGTTTGAATTTGCTGGAAATAAACGATTAGTTGATTTCTTCTGTAAATAAAGTTTAATAACTAAAAACTGTTTGGAGTATTTTATTCAATCGAAGATTTGAACCGTCGCATCGTAAATCGGTTACGACAGCGAGTATTATAACAATATCTTGAGAAGAAACGATCATTTGATAGCGATAGATCGGTAAGATTTGTTATTCCAGAAAAGTCACAGACTTTATCCGGAGTCCTTGTTGAAGATATCGTTAAAAAGCTTCCAAATCCAGAACTTGTGAAGGGTACCAAACGAGTTTCTGAACAGATTGTGTTCAAGTTTTCATTTGAAGGTTACAATTTGGCATGAAAAT